TTCTCATATATATATATATATATATATATATAATTTTGAGAGGTAGGTAAACTCCCTCTCTCTCTGTATATATATATATGTTTATATATTTATATATATATATATAAATATAATTTTGAGAGGTAGGTAAACTCCCTCCCTCTCTCTTTCTCTCTCTCTCTCTCTCTCTGTATATATATATGTATATGTGTATATATACACATATACATGTATATATAAAATTTTGAGCCATAAAGTGCTAAATCACTATCAATATTGATTAAAATTGCTGATATCGCTAAGCATGACTGCCTGGGTCTCCACCCTCCCTTACCCTTCCCTCTCTATCGTTTTACGATATCATTCATTCAGCCAGTGTTTATCACTCAGGGAGACAGAATTTTAAAAATCCCACCCTGGGAATCTAGCATTTCAGTCGAGGTAAACAGAAAATAAGCAACGTAAATCAAGAACCCGGAAGGTATGCTAATGAGGACTATCAACACAAAAACGCAGAGCAGAGAGAAAGGGTTGTGTTTTTAGGAAGGGTGACAGAGAAGGTGTCACGGAGGTGAGCCCTGAGTGCGGACGGACGTGCACGTGGTGAAGGAGCGGGAGGAAGAGTGTCGCAGGCAGAGAGAGAACGGGCCCTGGCACAGGTGAATGAGAGGGACGGCCAGGAGGCCACCGGGCTGCATGGGGTCAGCGGGGCACAGTAGGAGGACGTGGAGGCAGACGGCCAGGGAGGCAGCGTCCTGCTGGCCCTTGCGGGTGCTGTAAGGAAGGTGGCCTTCTCCCTGAGTGCAATAGGCTACCGGATGTCAAGAAGAGGGGTGCCCCGCACTCTGGCTGCCGGGCATGGACGTCGGGTACAGAGGCCGGAAGAACAGACGGCAGCCAGTTGCCAGCTGAGCCGGAAGACCTCGGTGTGAGCGTGTCTGTGGTGCGTGTGGTGGGGGCCCCTGCGAGCAGTTGCCACTGGGAGCTCAGTGTAGACACGACAGGTTTTGAGATGTCTATCACACACCCAAGTGTCGTTGAATAAAGGGATATGCAAACCTTGGTTCAGGGCTCAGGTCTGGGTCGGGTATAATTTGGGGGAGTGTATATTTAGATGGTGTTTAAAGCACGAGACTAGATTAAACCACCGAGGATGTGGGTGCAGGCAGAAATGAGAAGGGGTCCAAGGATGGCGCCCTTGGTCACCCCAAGGTTAAGAGGTCGAGCTGCTGGGGAGGAACCCGCAAAGAACACGACAAGGGACATGGCCAGGGAGACGAGGGGAAACCAGATCGGCTGTGCAGAAAGCAAGCCAGGAGTGTGTTTCTAGGAAAGAGTGTTCCTCCCGCTAAAACAAGACGAGGTCGTGGCTGACCTGGGCGAGAAGAGTTTTGGCAAAGTGGACAGCAGATGTCTGGTTGGCGTGGGTTCAGAAGAGCAGGGGAAGAGAGAAGCTAGAGAAAGCGAGGACAGCCTTCTTCAGGAAGTTTCCGTGTGAAAGGAGAAACGGGATGTAGAGTGAAGTCGGCTCAAAGGAAGATTTTTGTTTTTTTAAAGACGAGAGCAGGTTTGAGTACCTCTAGGAATAACTTCGTGGGGAGGGAAAAACTGACGATGGAGGCAGACAGTGGGATTTAACCAGGTTTCATGTAGACTGATGAGTAAGGCAGAGGGAGAGGGGCATTAGTTGAGGGTGCCCGCAAAGGACGCCATCACATCGGTTGACTCTGGAACGCAAGCAGGGTCGGGACACAGGGCATTAGAGTCCCAAGGGAAAGGGGGACGGAAGGGCTGGAAGAGACAGTGTTTCCCAGCCGCTTTCCTCCGAGGAGAGGCAACCCCTTTGTGGATTGGAATAACTGGATTTCTTCTCCGTCCTGCTCCCCAGGGTCTACAGTAGAAGGAGCTACTTACAAAGGATCCACAAAATAGCGAATGTTCCTGTTTAGACTGTCTAGACTTTCCATGTCCTCTGGTGTCAACTGGAAATCCAGAACCTGTCAGAAGGGTGAGAAGACGGACTCAGTTTCCCTGCAGCAATTACTGTCCGCTTCTCCTCCCTCCCCCAACCCAGACACACATTTACGTAGGAATGTACGTAGGTTTTACGAGACGGTTGTCATGAACCTGGGGGCTCGTTCCAAACGAGAGTCAGGAGTGTGTCCCCTTGGGTGTTTGAACTCAGATCACCCTCGGGGGCTCTGGGTGGGTGACTGTGGCCGCAGGAAAGGAATCCTACACCCTTTCAAGCCTAAATCCCATCTCATCTAGCTCCTTCATTCTGCAGCTGAAGAAATCAAGGCCATACTGTTGGGCGAAAAAACAGGACTGAGACCCAAAGCTGACCTTCTGGGTTTCTTTCCCACTTCCTCGTTCCCTCCCTGCAGCAGATGGGGGGGGGGGGGATAGTTAGACACCGCACTCACGTGCATAGCGTAGGCAAGGAGGTGAGCTTGGCCCAAATATACCTTGGGTGCCTCGCCGATGACCCAGACCAGAGGGAGACGAGGTGCCTCCATCAGTCCCCTGCCGCCCACAGCCCTCCCGTGTACCTGGAAGTTCTCCCGCATTCTCTCCTCATTGAAGCTCTTGGCCAGGGCCACCACCCCCCGCTGCAGCTGGTAACGCAGGGCCACCTGGGCTGGGGTTCGCCGGTGCCTTGCAGCAATGGCACTGAGCACTGGATCCTCCAGGAGAACTGGGTTGTTCTTGCTCAGCCTGGAAGGGAGGCAGAGGTGCAATGTGTCCGAGGCTGTATGTCCATCTTACATGGGATGGCTGGGTGGGTTCCATCCTCTGAAAATCCGCCCGATTACCCTCTGGCTGTCTCAACATCTGTTTTTGCTTCTTTTGGCCAATCCAAAGAAGAAGGACCAGAGAGAGGCAGGCAGAAAGGGACTCTCAGGTATTTGCTCATTTTTTACACGTTTCTGAGAAATTCGGTAAAAGACTGGATAAGCCAAGAGGACAACATTTTTGTCCCAACTAAGACCCGATAATCTCCATTATAATAAATAAACCGTTTTCTAAGAAGTTGCTATTTCAATAATGCTTTCAACTAATTATCTGCTTCGTCAAGTGCTAAGAGGAGCATTTTTATACTCCTCTTCAAGAGATAAAGAAACCCAAACTCACAGAAGTTCTTACTTGTCTCACGTCCCTCAACTATCAAGTGTTCGAATCGTGGCCCGGGCTCCCTTTGCCACTCTCTAAACCCAAGGCTTTTGAACTGGGTGAACGTTCTAATCAGTGATTTTATTATTTAACACTGTCTTATCGAGTCCCTACAAAGTAGGCTAGTGAAAGGGTTGGCAAAGACGGACTATTCCTGCCGCCTACCGCTCATCTGCCCCAGAAGGTTGAGCGATGACTCCAGAAGGGACAGTGTCCGTGATTAGAATAAGAGCAGAGAGGTCATTACCATTCCTTCCCTGAGTTGGACCCCAAGGCCGCGTACGCAGTCAAGACGATGTCCTGGGACTTGCAGAACTCCAGCAGTTTGCTCTGGTTGAGGTAAGGGTGACACTCCACCTGCAGAAAGCAAGCAGAAGGGTTGGATTCCAGGAACATAAAGTGCTGTATTGCATGACAGCAAACATATCCGGGCGGTCCAGCAACACGGGGAACACACGACCGTCACCCACAGCTGGGCCAGGGGAACTGACGGAGACTTGCCCTCCAATTACTGCCCACGGACAGCAGAGCAGTACTGAGAAACGGGCTTGGTGCTCATGACAGACAAGTCAGATCAGGAGGTCAACAGACACACTCAGTCTCTCGGACAGGAGACCACGGGGCTGGCCTTGGCTCCCCCTCGCGCGTCGCTCTGTCCAACGAGAAGCAGCCCCTGCCTTTCTTCGTTCTTCGTTCTCAGTCCCTCACCCTGACCTCTTCCCTTCACAGCTGCCACGCCTGGAAAGCAGCCACTCATCCTTCACGTGTGACTGACTTTCCGTGAGGTCAGTCTTCAGCTTCAGAAACCAGAGCGCGTTCGTCTTTCCCACCACAGTGTGTTGTGATGTCTCTGCTTGACCCGTGGAGCCTTCAAACACCGGCCCTGCTCTACGTCACTGCACCTGTTCCCTTCCCCAAGCCCAGTCTTGTACCATGTGTACAGGGCTCGGGGGCTTCTGGCCCTTTGATCATCGAGCGGAAATACGTTGCTCGTTGTGACTAGTCAGAAGCTATTACTAGCGTTGTGACCTGCACACGCTTCCGGTGAGAGGGGCTTCTGTGCCGTAAAAAATAATCAGGGGTACAGTCATCGTCCTTTCTGTGTACGGGACCTGGACACCCAGACGTATGTGGGTCAAGACGGTCACCCCGGCCACGGGATGGGTGGGCTAGGGGCCAGCTCAGCTCAATTTGTTGATTCTCGGGCTGGCCTTGGCTATTTCCCCTTCCATGACACGGGTCAGGCTCACGTAAAACCCTGGGCGGGCAGGCTCTAGCGTAATGGTGTCCGTTGCAGGGGGGGCCTGAAGAAAACGGAATGTCTTGACTATTTTTCAAGATGGCTACTGGATTTTTCTCCAGTGTTCAGTGCGAAAACCTGGTAGGGCTTCTGGAGGTAAAACTCAGGACAGCCTGGGGACAGGCCCATTGAGGAGCCCCCTGGAGATGTTAGCTCTCAGACTTGACGCTGAGGCTCCAGCAACTCTGGAGCTGCTGTTCCACCTCTTCCTGCCCCATAGTGACCCTGGCGGCCTTTTCGTTCCTGGCAAACCGCGATTCTCTGTATCAGCCTATCTGTCTCTCCAGTTTTCTGGCCGGCAGCTGGCTCTGTGACCTCAACTCTCTGATGGATCTAAAAACAGTTGCTCGTTCTTGGTTTATTCAGCTCTTCTTATTATAAGGACACAAGCAACAACTCCCGAGCTCCTTTCGGGCCAGACCCCAAACTGCGAGTGTGCACACGCACTTTTTGCCACACGCCTTTCTCACTGCCTCTGCTCTGACTCTGGCGACTCAATAAGAATGAGCAGGGATTGGGGTGCCTGGGTGGCTCAGTCCGTTGAGCGTCCGACTTCGGCTCAGGTCATGATCTCGAGGTCCATGAGTTCAAGCCCCGCGTCGGGCTCTGTGCTGACAGCTCAGAGCCTGGAGCCTGTTTTGGATTCTGTGTCTCCCTCTCTCTGACCCTCCCCCGTTCATGCTCTGCCTCTCCCTGTCTCAAAAATAAATAAACGTTAAAAAAATTAATGAAAAAAAAAAAAAGAATGAGCAGGGATTGAAGAGAAGCAAGCAGCCCGACTTCGGCCCCACTTGAACTGTATTCCCCAGCACCGTGTGCAGGAAGGGCCTGGTGCTGGCTTCCTGGGGCTGGTTCAGCCATCACGTGCAAATGACCTGTCTGCCTCACGGTTGTCTCGGGCATGAACACGGAAGGGGAGGAAGGGTGATTTATTGTATTCGGGGAACAAGACCAAGCCACCTGACCTGAACTGCCATCCACTCAGATCACCCCTTGGATCACGATGAACTGTCCTCTGTTCAAGCTTCTCAGGCCCACGTAAACTTCCCACCAGCCAATCAGTCTAAGCTTGGCCGTGGTCCGTTCGCTCTGTAGAACCCAGGGCGACGTACGGCTTCTTCCTTAATTCTTCAACATGACCCCAGGCAAAACCAGTTTCTTTACTTTCTCTAGACTGACGATCCCCAAGGTGGAGGTAAACCTCCCAAGGGACACAAAATACAACTTTTCAGAATTCTTATTTGTATTCTTCATCTATAAATAAGAGAAAAAACAAGCCTCACTAATATTTAATACATGTATTGGCTGTCACTCTCTGTCAGCCTTCATGTAAGAAGTTTAGAAGGAGATAAGATAAAGCCAGGGTGAATGTGGACCCTCCCGAGGACAGAAGTGTGGCCACTCACTTCCGTGCTCACAATTTCTTCCATAATTCTCCAAGATCGGGAAGTTTATGCGTGGCTTTTTTTTTTTAATTTTTTTTTTT